GGAAGACGCATTTCACCTTTACTCTGAAGATATGGGAGAACTCTGGGTGATTAAGAATGAATCTTGTAACCGAGGTATCCAGACCATCCAACAGCACCACGGAACACAAAGGGGCAAAATTTTTCATCAGTTTAATTCTAGCAGCTGCAAGATGACAACAGTTAGTCTTAAAACACTATATTTCACACAAATTAGAGTCAAGTCCAAAACTGATACAATGGACAAATACTTTTTACATTATCTGACCTTCATAATACCTGTGAGGTAGGTATCTCCCCATTTGACAAATGTGAAAAGAGAAGCAAACATCTTATGTGATTTGCCAAAGAAGTCAGTGATGTGCAGAACTAGAACTCATGAGTTCCTATTTTCCAGTCCTGTACTTTAAAAAACAAACTACAGAGCTCCATGGAAAATGAGAAAGTATATTCGTATCCTAAAGTAAGGCAATAAACAACACTCAGTCATTTTCATTGCCATAAAAAAGTGATAAAGACGATCTTGAGAGTTTGCCAATTACTACGTGTACAACTATAGACCAAATATTTGTGTGTGTGAATTTACTGTGGGACAGATGATGGCTGGACAGCCCTAAAAACTGTAGTACCCACTGGACAGATACAGCATGAAACACATCTCTCCCCTCAGTCCAGGTGATCATAATAGCTCACCTAGTCTGACCTCTTATGTAAAACAGGCCCTAGAATTTCAAACAGTGATTCCTGCTTTTAGCTCAACTTGTGGTTGAATAAAGCACATCTTTTAGAAAATCATCCAGTCTTGATTTAAGGACTGCCAGCAATGGAAAATTTACGACAGCATTTGATAATCTCTACCAATAGTTAACTACCCTCACTGTTAAAAATTTGACTCTAATGGGAAGTTATTCTGCTTTGCCTCTACAGAAAACAGCCAGAAAAGGCATCAACAGCAATAGTGACGATGAGGACATGTCACTAGACTGGGACCACCCTAACTCAGTTCACAGAAGCCACTGAATAATGTCAGGTGAAGATGACTTCTGATCACAACTCTAGTCTACATTCAGAATGGTGACAGAGAGATAAAAGGCTTATCTCACTACAAGGTCTCTGAGATTCTTCAGTCTGCCCCAAAGCAATTGGTAACAGGTAGCCCTACATGTAACCAGCCCTAATAGTACGGCTCTTCAGCCCCCCAAATAGCAGACTCCTCACCAAAGCACACTGCTCAGCCCATGCTTACCACGTGGCACATGATGGGCTCTGAGCATCGCCCTGGCTGATATCCTCATCTCCTTTTTCGATTTCTCCAGCGTCTCGTAGATCACTGCTTCGATGGTCAGGGCAGAGTGGGTCTGAGGGGAGAAGAGGTTGTAGGGAGGCTGCTCCTGAGTGATAGTAAATCCAAACACTCGGACTGCACCATAGAGGCAGGTCAGGCGGCATTTCCCAGTGAAGGTCAGCTTCTGCAGTGGGGAAACAGGAGACGAGATACTGACCAGGCTTGAAGACAGGGCGGTGCTAGACAGACAAGGGAGAGACAGCCCCTGCCCTGGCTGTTCACACACAAGAGGCGCTGAGTTTCCCACCCCGCCCAGGAGCTGCCCCCCACCCACCCACCCACCCCATCCCTGCTCCCGCACTGGGCTAGGGCCCAAAGCCACTGCACATCTTCATCCCCCCCAACTATTCCCAGCTACCCCACCAACAGCCCTCCCGCCCAACAGCCGCCCCCCAGCACCCAACGGCCGCCCCCGTCCCCTCCAACGGCTGCCCCCTCCATCGCCCCCAACGCCCCCCTGTCCCCTCCAACGGCTGCCCCCTCCATCCCCCCTCGTCCCCCCCCCAACAGCCGCCCCCGCGCCAGCCCTCCCTTCCCCTCCAACACCTGCTCCCCCGCAACAGCTGCCCCCTCCATCGCCCTCCATCCCCCCCCAACGGCCGCCCCCGCGCCAGCCCTCCCTTCCCCTCCAACTCCTGCTCCCCCCAACGGCGGCCCCCTCCATCGCCCCCCGTCCCCCCCCAACGGCTGCCCCCTCCATCCCCCCCTCGTCCCCCCCCAACAGCCGCCCCCGCGCCAGCCCTCCCTTCCCCTCCAACACCTGCCCCCCCCACCAACCCCTTCCAACGGCCGCCCCCAGCACCCAACGGCCGCCCCCGTCCCCCCCAACGGCTGCCCCCTCCATCCCCCCTCGCCCCCCCCCAACGGCCGCCCCCGCGCCAGCCCTCCCTTCCCCTCCAACGCCTGCCCCCCCCACCAACCCCTTCCAACACCTGCTCCCCCGCAACAGCTGCCCCCTCCATCGCCCTCCATCCCCCCCCCAACGGCCCCCCCCCCGCCCTCCCTTCCCCTCCAACGCCTGCCCCCCCACCAACCCCTTCCAACGGCCGCCCCCCCAACGGCTGCCCCCAGCACCCAACGGCTGCCCCCTCCATCCCCCCTCGCCCCCCCAACGGCCGCCCCCGCGCCAGCCCTCCCTTCCCCTCCAACACCTGCCCCCCCACCAACCCCCCCCAGCGGCCGCCCCCAGCTCCCAGCGGCCGCCCCCAGCACCTGGGCGCGCGGCAGCAGCAGCACCGCGGCGCCCTCTGTGGCCTCCACCGCGGCGAGGCCGCGCGCTGCCGGGGCCGCCTCCCCGCCGCCCGCCGGGCCCGGCGCCTGCAGCAGCCCCGCGCGCACGAAGGAGGCGGCGTATTCCCGCCACGCGTCCCGGCCGGGCCGCTCCCGCCACTTCCGGGCCGCGGGGCCCGAGCCCGGGCCTCCCTGCCGGCGGCCGCGGCCCAGGCGCTTGCGCGGAGGCTGCGCCCGGCGGGCCGCGGGGAAGCGGCGGAGAGCGGGCGGCCGGGGCATGGCGGCCTCCACAGCAACTCTCGCGAGAGTCGCCCCAGCCGGCGAGAATCGGGCGGGGCCCTCGGGATCGCGCGAGACCCGACTCAAGCGCCCCCCCGCGGGGTCAGAGGGGGCGTCCAGGCGGGGGGGGGGGCAGCGGGGCCGCGACACGGTGCCCCTCCCCCCCTCCGCGCGCGGGGCCGGGACACGGGGCCCCCGGCCCCTCCCCCTCCGCGACACGGGGCCCCCGGCCCCTCCCCCCGCCGGGCCGCCACACGGGGCCCCCGGCCCCTCCCCCGCCACACGGGGCCCCCGGCCCCTCCCCCCCCACACGGTCCCCCGGCCCCCCCCCGCCGGGCCCCACCGGCCCCCGCCCCTCCCCGCCACACGGGGCCTTGGCCCCTCCCCCCCACCGGGGCCCCCCCCCTCCCCCCGCGACACGGGGCCCCGGCCCCTCCCCCGCCGGGCCGCCACACGGGGCCCCCGGCCCCTCCCCCCGCGACACGGGGCCCCCCCGCCGGGCCGCCACACGGGGCCCCTCCCCCCCGCCACACGGTGCCCCCGGCCCCTCCCCCCCCGCCGGGCCGCCACACGGGGCCCCCGGCCCCTCCCCCCGCCACACGGGGCCTTGGCCCCTCCCCCGCCGGCCGCCACACGGGGCCCCTCCCCCCGCCACACGGTGCCCCCGGCCCCTCCCCCCGCCGGGCCGCCACACGGCCCCCCCCACACACACCGCCCAGACCCCGTAGACCCCTTCCCTGGCCTGGGGCACTAGGCGTGTGTTTGTGCCGAGGCTACTCCTTGACCCAGGGAGATGGAGCCGCAGGATGGGCTCTTGCATCCACACTAGGGGAGAGGCCAAGGCTGGGCCCAGCAAGGCACGGCCCGTGCAGCCCCACTGAACCCCACTCCCTCCTGCTCTGCGCCGGGGCTTCTCCACCTGTGTTCCTTTGCGCACCTTTAGCAAGTCTCAAGTGGCGGTGCAGACAGCTGTTGTCTGTATCTGTCCTTGAATCCTGTTCAGCGAGTTTTCAGTCTAAGCCTTGTGCGGACCCCTTAGACGTAGTCCACGGACCAGAGACTGAGAACCACGGCTCTATACAAACCCAGAGCGAGGGAAGGACACCACTGTGACATGAAGCGCTCTCTGGACTCTTCCCTGCACCTGCTTATTAGTGCACAAAGTCTCCAGCCCAGGGACGGTCTGTACTGACGTGTCTTGTATGTTGTAGGCACCAAAAAAAGAAAAGGCCCAGCTGCACGCTTTCCCCTCCTCAACCTGCACTCCCCATTATCTGCTCTTCCTCAGAGTCCACCCCAAAAGGGGAGCTCATCCATAAGCATCTGTTAGACCTGTCATAAACCCCAAAGCTTATGGTCAATGAGCAGCACTTATTTGTCAAGTGCCGGCAGTGAATGTGTCCCCTTCCCCAGCAAGCTTACTGTCTCGAGCAGTGGTTCTCAAACCTTTTTTTTTCTCCACAGACCACTTGAAAATTGCTGAGAGTCTCAGCGAACCACTTAATGATCTTTCCAAATGTTGTTTGTACCGTTAGCTAACTATGGTAAAGCGCTTTGGATAAAAGTGCTACATAAAAAAAACCCTTAATAATTAAATTTTTTTGTTCAACAAATAAAAGCACACAACTCAACTTTCTAATGTGATGGATGTGCCCTCTCTCCCCCGCTGCAGCAGCCCCTGCGCAGGGGTTGGGAAGGAGGGGGTCACTCCCTCTCTCCCCCGCCGCAGCAGCCCCTGAACTGGGGCTGGGAAGGAGGGGGGTCTCTCCCTAGCAGCTGCAGCCCTGGAGCTGGAGAAAGTCTCCTCTTTCTCTGGCCGCTGCAGCCCTGCACCTCCCAAATTCCCCCCACCCCCTCTTCTCACCCCACTGCCCTCTCCCACCTACCCACCATTTCCCCCAAGGCCACCACCTCACCTTACATGTGCGTCTTCTCCAGGGTCCAGGCACCTAATTAGTGGAGCCATGCTTGCATAGTTCCACTAATTAGGTTGGTGGCCCTTCATTCTCTTGTGTGCAGCTGCCCAGGCGTGCACCTTAAAGGGAACGATCTGCAGACCACCTGAATGGAGCTCGCGGACCACTGGTAGTCTGCAGACCACAGTTTGAGAACCTCTGATCTAGAGAATACACATACCATATAGAGGAGGACACACAATGGTAATTTATCTTTTATTACCTTTGTGAGCCTCACTGAAGAAGTAGTTCATTAGCAGAGATTCTGATGTACATCACATACTGGCTTTCTTCTCTTTTCCCTCTCTATTACATGCAGAACATAGTGCAACATATATAGTAGTTATATAAGAACACTCCTAAATGCCCATAACAAAAGCCCCACACAGCCCACTCTACTTCCTAAAACACTCCAACATCAGCTTGTTGAATGAAACTATAAAATAACTGCTCAGTTTAACGTGAGAGGGAGGTGGTAGAGAACAACTCTAGAGAGAGTATCCTCCACGAAGATCATGACCTAGTTAATTCATGCCATTTCCACTGACCACAGGGTCTGGGCTCACCTGCAGAATATTACAATAGATAAATCCCTGGTTGGTTTGTTATTTTTACCTCAAAGCAAAACTTCCTCCCTTCCTGGGAAAGTGTGAAGTCCTAGTTCCTGGGTACATGTTGTATCAGGGGCATTTGCGTATGTGTAAGCTGTCTATGTAAATAGTCCAAGGTACTTCAGGATCTGAGATCCTAACATTGTCTGAGAGGCAGTAAGTGTTGTGTCCATTATACGCTTCCCAGCCCCTTCTCCAGAGAGCTCTGTGCCAACAGCATGATGCTTTCTCCTCCATTCATTTTATATTTGTATCTCTTGGCTCCATGTTATTGGGCTTTCATATGCCAGAACACGGGGCCTTCTTCTAACTTCAGGATGGACGGAGATTACACGATTGCAGGATTTTTCCGACTGCATAGCTACTCAACAACAGTGAAATCTAGACCGGAAGTTGACATATGTGACAGGTAAGTGAGAAGGGTAGGGCTTGGCGCTGCAACAAATACTATGTATCAGTACCTAGATACTACAGTTAGTATGTCCAAGCAGGGGGTATGCTGTAATCACTGCTTAACATGCTGTCCAGTATTATCTCATTGCTTCCTTGTACTTGCGGTCTGTCTGCTAGATCCACCTGTTGCCTCTCATCTTAGCCTTAGATTTTAAATTCTTGGAGCAGGGCCCGTTCTGTATTTGTACAGCAGCTAGTACAGTGGGGCTCCTGCAACCTAATACAATCACAGTGACCAGAGCTTTAGAAATGTGGTTCGCCTAGATTAGACAGACACAAAGAAGAAAATCATATTTAGCAGGAATAGAAACAGGAGGGGAAATGAGCAGGAAAAAGAAGTGGAACAAGAAGTAGGAAAGCAGATATTGGACAAAGAGACCCACTGCAAATAGACAGGAAGCTGCAACAGAGAAGACCCATGGTGGGCTGGGAGTTGGGGCATGCAAGGCTCACCTCTCATTAATAAAATGACAATAGTCCAAAATATCGCAGCTTAGCTGGTGCAACTGCGGCCATTACTGAAGAAAATCTCTGCTACAGCCAATATCCACTCTGTGCCATCAGAGATCTGGGGAGATGCAGGTGGTTTCTCCTCCTCTTGTGCAACCTAAGCAGGAGAAAGGGAGCAGAACAGGGCAGTGAATCTGCCCCATAGGATATTGCATAAAGAGTTGCTGAAAAGGAAAAGGACCTAGGGGTGACAGTGGACGAGAAGCTGGATATGAGTCAGCAGTGTGCCCTTGTTGCCAAGAAGGCCAATGGCATTTTGGGATGTATAAGTAGGGGCATAGCGAGCAGATCGAGGGACGTGATCGTTCCCCTCTATTCAACATTGGTGAGGCCTCATCTGGAGTACTGTGTCCAGTTTTGGGCCCCACACTTCAAGAAGGATGTGGATAAATTGGAGAGAGTCCAGCGAAGGGCAACAAAAATGATTAGGGGTCTGGAACACATGAGTTATGAGGAGAGGCTGAGGGAGCTGGGATTGTTTAGCCTGCAGAAGAGAAGAATGAGGGGGGATTTGATAGCTGCTTTCAACTACCTGAAAGGGGGTTCCAAAGAGGATGGCTCTAGACTGTTCTCAATGGTAGCAGATGACAGAACGAGGAGTAATGGTCTCAAGTTGCAGTGGGGGAGGTTTAGATTGGATATTAGGAAAAACTTTTTCACTAAGAGGGTGGTGAAACACTGGAATGCGTTACCTAGGGAGGTGGTAGAATCTCCTTCCTTAGAGGTTTTTAAGGTCAGGCTTGACAAAGCCCTGGCTGGGATGATTTAACTGGGAATTGGTCCTGCTTTGAGCAGGGGGTTGGACTAGATGACCTTCTGGGGTCCCTTCCAACCCTGATATTCTATGATTCGGAGAGGGGCAGTGGGGATTTGAACTAATAGGTAAGATCTGATGTGTGTTGTGTAACAATAAATAGCGGCAAACTCAGTGTAAACGTACAAAAAGAAAGATGTTTGTGCTGCTGGTCTCCTCATGAATCCCCTGTGAGCAATGGTACATGTAGCAGAGGGGGGCACAGACAGGTGAAGTGATTTGTCTGAGGTCACCTAGTGTGTCAGCATTAGAACTCCAGGCTGCCTGGCTCTTGGACCACATTGTTGTTATGCCAGGCATTGCCCAGGGTGCATCTCCAAGATTCAGTGAAGCCTTCACATCTCTCTCTTGCCTCTGCAATAACACTTGTGTTTCTGCAGAGCAGCCTCTGTAAACAGCCATGGCTACCACCTGTTCCAAGCCATGAGACTCGCCATCGAGAAGATAAACAACTCCAGCAGTCTCCTCCCCAATGTCACTTTGGGCTACGAGATCTACAACACATGCTCAGAATCTGCCAACATGTATGCAACGCTGAGTATCCTTGCCCAGAGCAGGCAACACCATGTGGAAGTGCTCAGCAACTTCACACACTACCAGCCCAAGGCTGTGGCTTTGATAGGACCAGACAGCAGCCACTTTACCCTCACCACTGCAGCTATCCTGAGCATCCTCCTTATGCCAGAGGTAATCAGTAGCTTGTCTGGAGCAATGCCAAATATATGCCGTAAGCGATACGTTATCTGTGGCAGGGTCAAACACAGGAGCTGATTAGGGTAATACTGATTAATCAGAAGAAGGACAGGAAGTGGGCTTGTGGTTTGGAGTGGAGGTGGCTGGAGGATCAGTGCTCCAAGCAGGTGTTGCGACCCCTATGGTCCTTTGTGGCATGTGGGACTCAGTCTCGGTGTGACTCCAGAAGAGGTTAGGCTCATTCCTAGCGCTGAAAACGACATGCAGCATTGCTGCTTACTTGGTTGTTTTTTGAATGTGTGTTGCTGCGGCTACCACTTCCACATGCCCTCCAAATACCAATCCCCTCACGCCCACAAGAGTCACTGCTGACGCTGGTTCCTCCTGCCGGTATCGTTGCTCGGTGCCAATCGCCCCCCTGCTCCTCGGGTAATCACTGCTCAGCACTGACCTCCCGGCGGTACCAGTGCCCATCCCCCTCTGCGCAGTTTCCCAGCTGGAGACACATCCTTTCCCTGATTCCCTTTTGCAGATTAGTTACGAAGCCTCCAACGAGTTGCTGAGCCTGAAGAGCGCCTACCCCTCGTTCCTGCGCACCATCCCCAGCGACAGGCTGCAGGTCGAGGCACTAGTGCTGTTGCTGCAGGAGTTCAGGTGGAACTGGATTGCGGTGGTGGGCAGTGATGATGCCTATGGCAGGAACGGGATAAAGACCCTGAAAGAAGTGGCGGCTAAGCATGACATCTGTGCCGCCTACCAAGGAATCATCCCCATGAAGGGGGGTGCCAACAGCCCAGAGTTGAAGGAGATGCTTAGAGTCCTTGTGGAGACCGGTGTCAATGTCACCGTCGTCTTCTCCAATGTGGACAGTGCTACAGACTTCTTTGACATGGTGGTTCAGGAGAACGTGACGGAGAAGGTGTGGCTGGGCACTGAGGCCTGGTCTCTAGCCTCAGAAGTCTGGAGCATCCCCGGCATCCACAGAATTGGCACGGTGATTGGGTTGTCAGTCAAGCAGGCAAAGCTTCCAGGATTGGAGGAATTTGAATCTGCCCATGTGAATTCAGAGAAAAGTAATGTAGCCATGTGTGCCCCTGATTTGGGTGCTGAAGGGAGCAGTGGTGGGAGCAGCAGCAATGAGAGTACCAGCCAAGGCTGCAATCAGATCTGCACAAGGTGCCACTCACTCACTTCAGCGCCCCAGACGTTTGACATTTGGGCTGCCTTTAATGTGTATTCGGCGGTGTTTGCTGTGGCCCGTGGCCTGCACAACTTGCTGGGTTGCTGCTCGGGAGCGTGCAGCAAGGACAAAGTCTATCCCTGGCAGGTGAGTGGGTCACTGGGAAAGGCCCCCTGCTCTCTTGTAGACTCTTGTGAGAGTCTCCTTGTGTGAAGCTGCATGGGGGCAGCCCAGAGCTCAGGGCAGGTTTGACTATGCTGTAGTGAGAGGCAGGGGACTGGAAGTAGAAAGGAGCAGAAGTATAAGCATCTAGCAGGATGAGCAGGTGTCCAGCAGCTCCAAGATCTACCTGTGAGCTGCATGCTGTCAGAGCACCGATAAGGTTTCAAGGCTGGTGAATTGAGTCCCAGAACAGGCCAGCACGGCTCTGCCAATGGGCCTCACCCTGCTCTGGAGAGACCATCCCTAATTAGAAGAGAGGATGGATGGTAGCTGGGGGCCTTGGACACCTGGGTTCAATTCTCTGCTTCCCTATAGACTCCATGTGCCTTTGGGATGCCACTGACGATAAAATTTTCAATAGCCCCTAAATGACTCAGATGCCTCCATCTCTTGAAAGTCAATGGGACTTAGGCATTTTTGAACAATACACCACTAGTCTCTGTGCTTCCGTTCTCCAGCTGTAACATGGGGATAATAGCACCACCCTGCCTCCGGGTGGTGGGGGAATTCATGAGGAAGAGGAAAGCAGCAAAGACTTGAACCCTCCCACCCCGTTAAGGCCCTAACCTATCCCTGACTGGGGTCTTTGCCCAAGTGGCTGAAGCTGTGTGTGGGAATCTTGGGTCTTTTCTGTCTGTGGCCTTTTTGTTTTCCAGCTCCTGGAAAAAATCAAGCAGGTGAATTTCACTCTGCAGAATAGCAAGGTGCTTTTTGATGCCAATGGGGATCCCCTGACAGGCTATGACCTCGTCATGTGGAAGTGGACTGGCCTGACCTGGTCTTTTGATGTGATTGGGTCTTTCCTCCAAAAGCCAGACGGACTGAACATCAACCGGGATGGAATCCTGTGGCATACAAAGGATAATCAGGTACCACAGCATCTGAGCTGCATACTGGGAAAGGAGTGGCCTCAGGAGCTTCGGGCAGTAGCACCAAACGGGGATTTTCTTAGCATTACAAACAAAACGAACCTCCCCTTATTCCTGAAACTTGACCCTGCATAAAGCTCTGTGTCCCCGGGGTTGGGGAAGCAGAATCCTGCAGGCCGGGAGGGGCCCGCCTCACCACTCCTCCTTCTGCACTGAGTCACGTTTTCTGGTCATGGTCAGGTCTGCTGCATCTCCACGGGTCTTTCCCTTAGCAGGGTGAAGCTGGGGCGCTTAGCATCTCAGGGTGCAGGCTCTGCAACAATCAGGGCTGGCAGTACTGGGAACAGAGAGCTGACAGGCTCCTACTTGCATCTTACTTTTCAGAAAAAGCTCTCTCAGGAAGAACCACCCCAGGTATGCCCTTGTGCTGCCCCTGCACACTGCCCCTGCATCCCACCCGCAGTCCCGACCCCTTTCCTGGACATTAAGATGCCTAGAAATATAAGGAACAGCCCTCTGGTGAGCAGCCTGCGCTGGTCCCAGGAACTCAGCTCTGCTCGGTCAGTGCTGTTTCCTAGCGGGCCCTAGCTGTGATGGGGGCTTTCTCTTGGCAGGCCTGACCCTTGCTGTGCTTTCATGTAGGTGCCTATGTCAGCTTGTTCAAAGGTCTGCGTAAAAGGAGAGAAGAGGATGCAGGTGGGGCTTCACCAATGCTGCTTTGACTGCGTGGCCTGCCCCGCAGGAACCTTCCTGAACAGCAGCGGTCAGTAGAACCTGAGGCAGCTCCTCACAGGGGTCACAGCCAGGGCAAGCTGGTTAATCTTGTTCTGCCATTCCAGTGTTCCTATCCTGTGCACCTGGCTCCATGCTCCTCTTGGACACGCTTACTCCAGCCCTTCTCTGTGCTCCTTGCTTTCTCCTTCTCCTCCATCCTGGCTGCAGCAGTTTTCTCTTCTCCTTCTCCCATTCCCTTCCCCTTCCTCTTGCGGGGCCTGACGACGAGCGTTTGAGATGCAAATGGCCCAGTGCAGCTTGCGCTCTGGCTTCTCCATCTGAATAGCTCTCAGAAGGGCTGCTGTGCTGGGAGTATGTAAATTCCGGGTCTCCCCCGCCCTCCACCCAGTGCTGGCTCCAGTGCACTCCTGGATAGTGCTGGGAAGCTGTGGTTTCAGATGGTTGCCGGGAATCAGATGAACAGGTGAGCTGAAGCTGCCTGACTCCTCTCACTGTGAGCTTTGGGTGGGGGGAGGCAGGTGTGACAGCTGCTGCCTGCCCTGGGAGGAAGAGCCTGCCCACTGTTGTCTTTGTCCTGTTGATGGGGCAGGCAGACAGACAAACCCAGAAAGAATGAGCAGCCCCAGGTGGCAATAAACACCAGGGTGGAATTTGGTTAGTGGCTAGTCGATGGTGCTGGAAGTGATATGAAAATGCTTGGGTGCTGGGGGCCAGGTGGTGCCCTGGGCTGACTGCAGGATTAGCTGATCCCCGCTGTGCCAGCCACAAATGCAAACCTATAGCAAGAGAAAGTCTTCAGCCCCTTCACTCTCACTCAGTAGATGCTAGCAAACTCCACGTTCCACTAGAGCATGAGCTTTGTGCAACCACCAACAGTGAAGAGCCTCAGGAGTAAGTTACTCAGTGGCCTGGCTGGGTGAACAGCCCTGCACCTAACTAGCAGTTGGAGGAGAGAGCAGCTGCTGCAGACATGCCAGCCTTTGTGGGGCTGTTGCATCTGCTGGAGCCCACATCACACGTCCCTGCAGACTAGCTGCATGAGCTGTGTACTTTACCTCAACCAGGACTCCAGCTGGGACCCAGGTGGTCTGTAAGCCTTAGTTCACTCAGCTAAGCCAACAGCAGCTACTGCCCCTGACTAAGCTGGGGGGAGCCGTGCTGAGGGAGGCCACTCTATAGACCAGAGCTCTCCCATTCCAATTCCTTTCCATATCCTGCCACAGACACCCCAGTGGTCTCATAGGACCATTAATGTCACAGGAATTGCACCCACTCACTCTAGGGCTGAGGCCTTAGGATTTGTCACCTTTTATACTGTCTCATTAAACCTTGTTTGGAGGTGGTGCACATTGATCCCAGGTCATTAAAGACCCTAAGGCACTTTACATAAGGGCTGGGTTGTTATCCCCAGCATCTGTGCTCCACCTCAGAGGTAACTGCATCCCAGTGGTGAGTGATCCCTGTACACAGCTTGTTAAGTGTTTTGGGATCCTTTCAGGCATGAGGTGCTATAAGGTGGCAGATCATTATTACCATAACCAGCATGGTGTGTGAGCAGCATCTCAGCTCTTCCATTCCCTTCCTCTGCAGACCTCTACAATTGCCAGCCCTGTGGGACAGATCAGTGGGCCCCAATGAAGAGTGAAATCTGCTTGAATCGGACCACCGAATTTCTGTCCTGGGCTGACCCCGTCTCCTGGGCCTTGCTGACTGCCATCACCCTTCTGCTGCTGCTGCTGGCAGGGACAACTGCCCTCTTTGCCCAGAACCTCACCACGCCAGTGGTCAAGTCGGCAGGCGGCAGAATGTGCTTCCTCATGCTGGGCGCTCTGATCTGTGCCTGCTGCAGCCTCTACTGCTACTTTGGGGAGCCCACCTGGCACACGTGTCTGCTGAGGCTGCCCATCTTCTCCATTAGCTTCACCATTTGCCTCTCGTGCATTGCAACCCGTGCCTTCCAGATCGTCTGCATCTTCAAACTGGCGTCTAAGTGGCCTGCCTTCTATAGAGCCTGGGTGAAGCACAACGGACCCAACCTGTTCATCGGAGCCTGCACAGTCACCCAGGTGGCGATGTGCCTGGTCTCGCTCAGCATCAATCCCTCAGTGCCCAGGAAGGACTACACGACCTTTGTGACGATGACCATCTTCCAGTGCTCGGAAGATGATGCTGTGTGGGGGCTGCTCTACAACACAATGCTCAGTATCTGCTGCTTTGTCATCAGCTACATGGGGAAGGACCTGCCTGAGAACTACAACGAGGCCAAGTGCATCACCTGCAGCCTGCTTATCAACTTAGTCAGCTTCATCTGCTATCTCACCACCTACATCTTCTACCATGGCAAATACCTGGTGGCCATCACTGTGCTGTCCAACCTGTCCACCCTGTCTGGGATCTTTGGAGGCTACTTCCTCCCCAAGGGCTACATCATCCTCTTCCGAGCGGAGCTCAACACCACTGAGCACTTCCAGATGTCTATCCAGAGTTACACCAGGAAGAGCAGCTCAGACTGAGCTCACAGGCGGGGGAGCAGGGAGACTTTGGGATTTATATGGGGTGGATGGGGGGAGGTCCCTCACAGCTGTTGAATTCTGTGCTCTCAGCATCCCACTGTGGAGGAAGAGGGTGTGACAGAGATCTGTGCAGGGAGCTGCAGGGGGGCTCTAGTGGGAGCTGGGGATGAGATGGGGGGTGCGGAGGGGTGGAGTGAAATGAGCTCAGGCCTGTGACTACCTGCCACCAGTAACTGATCCTGCTGGGCTGCGAGGTGAGAGTAGCTGTGTGGGAGTTGGGATGGAGGGGGTATTGGGCAACATACCCTGCAGGGGGCACATGGGAGCACGCAGGCCACATGGGGTCTGTGCTGTGGGAGGTGGCAGCAAGAAAAGACAGACTGGAGAGCTCCCATGTTTCAGTTAGAACAGGCGTTGACAAAGCTGGGCCTGGGGCCTTGCCTCACTCCCAGCCAGCCTGTGGGGTCAGGGACAACTCATCTGCCATGCTCTTCATCTTCCTTGTGAGTGGAAGGCCGGCCCTGTGACAGAGCCATGTGCAGGGGGCCTATGCAGGGCACAGAGGTTGTGACCCCAGAGCCTAGTGGGTGAGGGAGTTTAGGGGCAGTGAGGTCAGCCCGGGGCAGTAATGCTTTGCTCTCCCCTTTCGTGGCTCCTTCCCACCTCCAGCCCTCCAAGGGACAGAGCTTCCCAGAGCCGCATCCACACCAGTCCTGCTGCCAGCACCAGGGCTGCACTTTGTGGCAGCACAAGACTGGCTCCATGAGCTAGTGCACATCCTTAGCCAGGCTCCATGGCTCCAGCATTTCAGGAGCACTAACTCCCACTGTTACACCCTGCATGGAATCCTCATAGCCGCAAGATGGCAGCCCTGCATGCCACCTGCCCAGCTGCAGCGTAAGTTGCAGGTCACAGATCTGGAGACAACAGTAGGTCCCAAGGGGGCCACATCCTCCAAGACAAGACTGCTGTAGGGCATGGGGAATGGAATGGATGACACAAGTCATTATACTCTATCCTGGCTCTTAAACACCTACCCTCAAGAGACAGATCTGGGCTTCTCTTTTCTCCCTACTAAATGGATGGAATACCTGGTGAGTGGGGCTGGGTGGGGGACGGGATCCCCATGAGCCCAGCACCTCGGAACAGGAGGCTCTTGATGATTTGCTCATGCCCCTGGAACTGAGTGGCCTGATAGTCTCTCAGGCTGGTTACCCAAGAGACGTGAGAACAGCTTCCTGGGAGGCTTGGACCACTGGCTTTGTCAGCTCAAGGTGGAAAAGGAGGGGCTGAGCACACTGGCCAGCCTAGGATAAAAACGCCCCTTTTCTCTCGGGTGCTGATATGGGTAGAGAGGGGGGCTGGGAACATGCTGCTGCTTCTCAGCACCAGGCACCCAGCACCCACGCACAGGCTCATTCCCTCCCACGGGACACTATGGGACACTGAGCAGAGGTAACTTACATAGCGGGCACTCAGATCCAGTCCTCATGCTCTTCTCCCTCAGCATCTGAAGCCATTTCACTGTGCCCTCAGCCCCTCCCTCTCACCTGCCCCACAAAGTTCTGACCTTAAGTACTATTTTGTCAGATAATTTTTATTGTTAAACTGCCATTAAATATAACACAGGAGAAAAAACACAAATGTCTCTCCAAAAACAGGTGGCAACAGCACCCAAACGGCCAACAACAGTCAATCAAACTTCACTGGAAACTCACTCACTGCTGCATTACAGCCCATAGTTAGCCCCGCTCCTACCCCTGGGGAGTTACAAGAGCCTTTGCCAACAGTGGCATGGTGACTGGCTGCAAGCTGCAATTCCCAGGGTCTGCTGGATTTGCCCAGGGAGGCTGAATGCAGATTTTTGCTCCTCTTTCAGGGTGAGTCACTCCGTTGTCAGTTTCAGCTGAGAGCATCCAGGGGCATAACATCTGCCGCCATGTGTATGAGGTTCCCTTCCAGCCAAGTATGCCAGCAATGACCAAGGGGATGGAGCTGTTCTGCCTGGAGCAGTTTATAGCCTGTCCCTCAATGACAAGGGGCTCTTTCTGCCAGGGCCTCCAAAGCCCCTCTGCGTTCCCTGCGGCTCTGGGACAGGCTCCCACCCTGCACTCAGCAGTTTGCTATTTGTTGCCTCATGCTCCCCGAGTGATGCAAACTGCAGTGCCTCCTGCAAACTCCAGGCCTAACCTCCACTGTGCTGGGAAAGTGCTCCCCTGTGGATGGGCAGGAAGCCAACCGAGCTTTCTGAATGAGATACGCAGGCTGTTTGTCTTCCTTGGATGCCCAGAGCACACTAGTCACCTCCTTGCTCCAAAGAGCTCCTATTCTTAGCTCAGTGACACAATAAGGTCATCACCAAGGTCTGTGGTGGGAGGGAGCCTGGGGAGAGGAAGGACGATGATGCCAATAACACAGTCATGCTGGGATGCAGAAAGATGTGCACACACAAGGAACGGGCTACTGAGGGAATTTGCACAAATATCACATGCTCACCCCCCCATTGCACACTCACCTCCCCCATTTCACACTCTGCTCACTCACATAGGTCAATGGGCTACAGGGTGTCTCTCTGGCTTCACGGCCAGGCTTATGGCTTTTTCAGGGAACAGTTTTATTCTTCACTATAAAACCTAGGCCAAACAGCAAAACCCACCAACCCCCCCCCCCTAGTTCTGGCCACCAGGGGCTCCTGCTCCCAGAGGCTTTTCCCCTGGGGTCTCTTAACACTTAGAGGGAACAACACAGCCTTCAGCAGAAGCCCATCTCCATCCTTCCCACCTGAGGCAAAGTCTTCACTGCCACGTCAGTGTAACTTTTTCACATGTAAGTTACACCTAAGCGCCGGTGTGGACGGTCCTATGTCGGCAGGAGAGCATCTCCCAGTGCCTCTCGCAGAGGTGGATTCATTGTGCCGACAGGAGAGCTCTCTCCCGTTGGCCTAGAGTGTCTTTGGCAGGCGCACGGCTGTGGCTTGGTTGCAGCTGTGCCGATGTAGTGCTTCTAGTGTAGACTAGCCCTGAGTCACCTGGTGGCTTGATAATCCCTTACTCCCTTCCCAGATGGGCCTGATAGTTGAACAGGGCTACTTAGCACAGGTGCCGACTCCGTGGGTGCTCCGGGGCTGGAGCACCCCTTGGGAAAAATTGGTGGGTATCCTGTACCCACCGGCAGCTCCCTGCCCCGCCCCAGCTCACCTCCGCCTCCGTCTCCTCCCCTGGGCGCGCCGCGTCCCTCTTCTCCCCCCTCCCTCCCAGCGTTTGCCGCCGCAAAACAGCTGTTTCCTTGTAGAAGTTCCTGCTCCTAGTAAGTGGAATTACTGAGCCCTGAGACTACCAGAGCAAGACAGGCTGCAGATTTTATACAATGGACCAGATTCTGAGACTCCCACTTGTATTAAGTAGCACCTTACTCAGCAAACAGTCCTACTGACTTAGATGGGCCCTGTCATGGAGCGAAGTGCTACTCAACCTGAAATAGGAGAGCAGAATCTGGCCTAATAGCTGCACAGATTTTGGAACAGTACCAAGCTCATCACATGGAAGGATATTTTAATGACAAGTCCTTGTAACATACTTAAAGGCTCCCCATGTCCAGCCCAGAACCCTTGGCAGGAAGCTTTCTGCTCTCCCATAGCTGAAGCTTATTTTATTCCTTGTCTATTAAGCTGTCATTGCTAACTGTAGCTATTGCAAACATTCCTGTGCTGCAGAATGCAAATGGTGGGTTGTTACAATGTTTCATGAGCTGCCAGACTCAATAAAAAGAAATCGCTAATGACAGCCCGTTTAATTACAGATTCTCCTTTTTTAGGTCACAACTGAATATTCACTGAGTCAACCAGAGGGAGCAGGGCTGCAATAACTAAGTCACAGCAAATACCAAAGGTGGTCAGTCCCTCCATACGGACGTCAAATGCTAGCAAGTAACCGACTCTCCACGAAACAGCTCTATGCATAGGCCTGGAAAGGTGTCCATGGTGCTAAATGCAGGAGTCTAAATAAAGCCTCCAGCTGATTCCCTGCTGATTCTCCTTAGCAACAGAGACCCAGGTCAGGCAGATGCTATAGCATGTTGCGCTCAGTGAGAGGAGAGTTTGATGCTCTGAAGCCTCTGGCTTTTGAGACACACAAATCCACGTTAATTAATATCCACATGAAAAATGACAGCTATTGTGATAGGAGTCCCTGTGAGTGATCGAGGTCCTGACATGGCCTTCGTGCCTGCCCATCCGAGCACCTCAGAGTCATTCATGGATCTTTATACTCACTACATTGCTGGGAGGGTGTGGAGCATTAGCCCCGTTTACACTGGGGTAGATCAGCACAAACAACAAGGAGTCCTTGTGGCACCTTAGAGACAAACACATGTATTTGGGCATAAGCTTTCGTGGGCTAGGACCCACTTCATCAGATGCATGGAGTGGAAAATACAGGAGCAGGTATAAATACATGAAAAGATGTGATTTGCCTTACCAAGTGTGAGGTCAGTCTAACAAGATAATTCAATTGACAGCAGGATACCAAGGGAGGAAAAATAACTTTTGCAGTGGTAATGAGAGTGGCCCATTTCAGACAGTTGACAAGAAGGTGTGAGTAACAGTAGGTGGAAATTAGTATTGGGGAAATTAGGTTTAGGTTTTGTAATGTAGATTAGGTGACTGCTCCCAAGTGGCTGAGCTGAGAACTGAAGTCAGGTCTGTTGTGTGGCAGGTCAGTGCCCCATCCTCAAGGCATCCTTCCTAAATGACACACAGCACCATTCCCCAGACTTAATAATGAACTGTACTGAAAACATGCAACAACTTCTGGCATCTTCACCAACACCAAAAAAAGGGCTCAATTTTTTTTTAAAAACAGTGATTTCAGCCAACAGAGATGATTGCACAGAAGGGTCTCCTAGCACAGGGCCAATGCCACACAGACTGTGCAAATCAAGAGAGGTAGAAACTTACATAAATGGCCCCTTCTGGATGAACAAAGCAGGCATTTTGTGCCCAGACCAGTAATAGCGCGCACAATAGCATTCCCATATCACCATTCAGAGAGTGCAATTTAGACAGCAATGCTTCAAAGTTTGGCCCAAGCAGAAGGGAGAAGTCTGACAGGAATATACATAAGAGTCAAGCACTGGAAGGAAAGGGCTCCTGAAGGAGAACCTTGACCCCAGAAATTAAAAAACAAAAACTAAAAGTCCTGGACCAGGGCAGTCATGCCCCATAAGAGCTGCCTTGTGGAGACTTTACTGGCCCATTGCAAAAACACTCACCAAAGACCCACCCCAGGCAGCACTGCTCACTTTGCTCAGCTGATACCAGTCCTTCTGAAAGCAGAGCTGGAGGCTTTATAGTACACTGGCATCCTAAAAGGAGGCTCTTCCTGACTCCCAGGATATCTGAGAAGGTAAAAAAAAGTCAGGGATGGGAAGGGCTTTGGCAGTGCAGTGAGAATCCTCTGCCCATCTCTGATGCCCTCCACCCGAGGATCTCAAAGCAACTTATAAGTATTAATTAACCAACACTCCCAACCCTCTCTAAGGCCATTGTGGCTAGCATTACCCTCCCCCTTTCACAGATGTGAGGAACAAGACGGAGAGGTTACGAGACTTGCCCACAGCCAACAACAAGTCAGTGCTGGGAATAGAACCCAGGCTCCCTGACTCCTGGTCCTGTACTTTAGCTAATAGAAGATACTTCCTCTCTGAATAATGTACCAGGGACGAGGACAATAAGCACACACAATGCCCTCTCCTCTTCAGGTGACAGTAGCCAGAGAGGCTGTGTTCACATGCAGCATACTCTAATGGAGAAGCTGTCTAGAACACTCCTTGATTTATTTAGTGCTGCTGGCAGGACCCCGGCAACAGGCAGTAAAGCTGTTTTCCACACCATCAGGCTCCATTTCAGGATCTAATACCCTGGTATTGTCTACAAGCCACTGCAGTGGGTGCAGCACACCCAGTCCTCTGGAGAGAGAAAACACCACAGGCTGTTCACAGGCAACCAAGGCATCCAGGAGTGCCAACATAACTCTGCCTGAGGCCTTGCATCAGTTTAACTAAATGGGTTTAATATCACTGACAATATGCTGACAAGATCTAAAGTGGAAGCCTGCCATTTGAGAGAGACATCCATTATCATACATAAATAAAGGAGAACAGTGGCCCTGCAGGATTCCAGCCAGACTCCAGAAAGTTGCTGGGTTTCCCTTGTGACAACAGCTCTGTGCATTATTTCACTGAACTCTTTGACGCAGAAACACACACACACAAAGCAAAAGGTAATTCTGATCCATATCAGAGGTCAGAAGACAGTGATTCCTTCCAAACCTTTCAGGCACCTACTCAACCCACAACAGCAAATGAGTGTTCATTCTTCCCACAGCTGAGAAGATGAGGGGTCGGATTAACAGCAGCAGTGAGCAGCTCAGGAGGCTCCTGCACAGAGATACCAAGGACCAAAAACCACATCCTCAAACTGGAGAAAGGAGACATCCTGATCGTAAAGTGAAATGAACCATCAAAGCTATGCATGGGTCTCATTGTCTGTTGGTGAGAGTTGGTGCAGCTATTTTGCCTTCAGTGGAGCTACACCAGTTAACACCAGAAGAAAATTTGATCCCAGAACTTGAAACTTCAAATTCTGGGCCGTCCATACTGGGTGTCACACAGCCCTCTCTGAAAAGATTCTCAGCCTCAGCTACACTGTGGTTTGCAGCCTCTCGCTAACACATCGCTAAAACCCACTTCATCGGATGCATGGAGTGGAAAATACAGGAGCAGGTATAAATACACAGCACATGAAAAGATGGGAGTTGCCTTACCAAGAGGGGGATCAGTTGGTAAGGCAACTCCCATCTTTTCATGTATTTATACCTGCTCCTGTATTTTCCACTCCATGCATCCGATGAAGTGGGTTTTAACCCACGAAAGCTTATGCCCAAATAAATGTGTTAGTCTCTATGGTGCCTCAAGGACTCCTCGTTGTTTTTGCTGATACAGACTAACACGGCTCCCACTCTGAAACCAGAAGCCTTTTAGATGGTCTCTGGGGAATCGCTCCCTGGAGTTCACACTTGCTCCTCTCTTGTGCTTTCTGACAAATCCCAGGAGCCATGGTCCTCCTTTAAGTCTGGTTCCCTTTCAGTGGCATCGAGAGCCAGCACCCCCCACCCCGCCATGAACCTGCAGGAACCTCGAGAATTTGTTTGCTCTCCAGAGGGGCCAGGGCTGTGATCACTCAGGGCTTTCTTCCAGTGGAGAGCAGGGTTACATCGTCCGCCCTGCTCAGGGGCTCTGGGCACAGCACTAGGCCAAAGCCAGCTGCCACAGGCACGGCCAGCGGCTCCCTCCGCCATCGCCCGGCAGGAACAGCGCAGGGACCACAGCGAGCCCGGCTCCAGCACCCCCCAGGGCACGGCTTGCTGCTGGGGGGCGGGGGGGGCAACGGGTTTGCCCCGGTCATGGGGGGGAATTGGGGACAGGACTCAGCTGTGCCCCCCACTCACAACCCAGGCAACCCCCATGAGCCTCCCAGGCCCCGCGCTGCCCCTAGCCCCACAACCCACCCCCCATGACCCCTATCCTCGCTCCCCCCTTCAGTCCCCCCAGACCCCCCCGTGACCCCTATCCTCGCTCCCCCCTTCAGTCCCCCCAGACCCCCCCGTGACCCCTATCCTCGCTCCCCCTTCAGTCCCCCCAGACCCCCCCGTGACCCCTATCCTCGCTCCCCCCTTCAGTCCCCCCAGACCCCCCCGTGACCCCTATCCTCGCTCCCCCTTCGGTCCCCCCAGACCCCCCCGTGACCCCCATCCTCGCTCCCCCCCCTTCGGTCCCCCCAGACCCCCCCGTGACCCCTATCCTCGCTCCCCCTTCGGTCCCCCCAGACCCCCCCCGTGACCCCTATCCTCGCTCCCCCCTTCGGTCCCCCCAGACCCCCCCGTGACCCCTATCCTCGCTCCCCCTTCGGTCCCCCCAGACCCCCCCGTGACCCCTATCCTCGCTCCCCCTTCGGTCCCCCCAGACCCCCCGTGACCCCTATCCTCGCTCCCCCTTCGGTCCCCCCAGACCCCCCCCGTGACCCCTATCCTCGCTCCCCCCTTCGGTCCCCCCAGACCCCCCCCGTGACCCCCTATCCTCGCTCCCCCTTCGGTCCCCCCAGACCCCCCCGTGACCCCCATCCTCGCTCCCCCCTTCGGTCCCCCCAGACCCCCCCCGTGACCCCTATCCTCGCTCCCCCCTTCGGTCCCCCCCAGACCCCGTCGGGACTCACAGGCCCCGCCCCGCCCCGTCACGTCACGTCACGTCCGGCGCTTCCCCAAGATGGCGGCGGCCCGGCTCCCGCAGTAGCCGCGCTCGGTTCCCTGTCGGGGCCCTCGGGCGCCCCCTGTCCCACGCCGGTGCCGGGGCCCGCCCGCCCGCGGAGGTGGGGAGACCTTGGCGCGGGGCGGTGTCCCCCCCGGGGTGGACCGGAGGGGTTGGCGGGGGGGGAGGCGATTTCCCCCCCCAGGGGCGGGCCGGACCGGAGGGGTTGGCGGGGAGGCGATGTCCGTCCCCCCCAGGGGCGGGCCGGGGCAGACCCCGGAGGGGTTGGCGGGGGGAGGCGATTTCCCCCCCCAGGGGCGGACCGGAGGGGTTGGGGGGGAGGTGATGTCCCCCCCAAGGGGCAGGGCGGGGTGGACCCCGGAGGGGTTGGTGGGGGGGAAGGCGATTTCCCCCCAGGGGTGGGCCGGGGCGGGGCGGACCGGACCGGAGGGGTTGGGGGGGAGGTGATGTCCCCCCCAAGGGGCAGGGCGGGGTGGACCGGAGGGGTTGGCGGGGGGGGGGAGGCGATGTCCGTCCCCCCCAGGGGCGGGGTGGGGCGGACCGGAGGGGTTGGGGGGGAGGTGATGTCCCCCCCCCAGGGGCGGACCGGAGGGGTTGGCGGGGGGAGGTGATGTCGTCCCGTCCCCCCCAGGGGCGGGTTGGCGGGGGGGGGGAGGCGACGTCCCCCCCGCAGGGGTGGGCCGGAGGGATTGCGGGGGAGGCGATGTCTCTCCTGGGGTGGACTGGAGGGGATGCCTCCTGGGGAGGGTGACCTGGAGCCTCCCCCCCCCCCGGCTGCTTTCTTTTCTGCCTCCCCTGGCAGCCCTTGGCCCAAGCGCCGCTGGCTCACCCCCACCTCCTCTCCTTGCAGACCATGGATGGCTCCTTTGTCCAGCACAGTGTCCGTGTCCTGCAGGAGCTGAACAAGCAGCGGGAGAAGGGCCAGTACTGTGATGCTACCCTGGACGTGGGCGGGCTGGTGTTCAAAGCCCACTGGAGCGTCCTGGCTTGCTGCAGCTGCTTCTTCCAGAGTTTGTACGGAGATGGAGCCTCCAGCAGCATCATTCTCCCTGAGAGCTTTGCGGAGATCTTTGAGCTCCTGCTGGACTTCTTCTACACTGGACACCTCGCACTTACCTCAGAGAACCGGGAGAAGGTGCTTGTCGCTGCCAAGGAACTTTGTGTCCCTGAAGCTGTGGAGCTGTGTCAGAGCTTCAAGCCGAAATGCTTTGATGGCAGTGATCTAAACAACCGGTGCCTTCACGAGAAAGGTCCTAGGGAAGATCTTAATGGTCACTTAAAGCAGCCAACAGACTCGGACGGAGAAGAAGCTATCAAAGCCTTGTCTAAAGCTAATGTTGCTAGTGAAGCCAGCCCCAGCTGCTGCACTAGGAGAGCCAAACTAACCCAGGGACCAAGTGGGAGCCCGTCTCTTCTTAGGGAAAGGCTTAAAAGGGCTGTTAAAACAAATGCATTGAGCAATTCAGGTGAAGTAAAGAACACCCAGGAATGTAAAGAAATAAAAAGGCCACCTAAAAGAGGAGGCACTGAAGACAGAGGCATCAGCAATGAGGTGGTGCGTGGAGCATGTCCTAACAGGGTTTCTTTTATGAACTAAGAAACTACTCTCCTTAGAACTAAAGGTTTAAAACTTAAGCAGGGAGAGATTTGCTCCTGAAAACTGAGCATCAAGCATATAGGATGTCTGCTAATCTCAACAGAGCCAGTGTGATAAGAGGGCAAGGATGGTGGTTTAAGTACAGGAGTGGGACTCAGGAGATGTGGGTTCTATTCCTGACTCTGCCACAGAATTGCTGTGTGTCCTTGAACAGGTCACTTAATCTCTGTGGACCTTAGTGTCCCCCCATTTGTAAAAGAGGGAAAAGGTTGACCTATATCTCAGGGAGACTGAGGCTTAATTGACTACTATTTGTAACTACTTTGAGCTCCACAAATGCAGGCTATTGCAGAGTACAAAGTATTTGATACTTTTCATATTAATTGGGTTAATTACTTTCCTAGAGCAAAGCCAACACACCTGAAATTCTTAATGAGTTTGTGTATTCAAAAAGGAAGAAACTGGACATCTTAAATTAAAGAAGTACTTTGGCTCAAAGACATGATAAAATTTCATTATGAAGTTATTTTAAGGTCAGGAACTTCAGAACCACTGAACAGAAATACCTTCTTGTGCAGTGTATATTGGCCCTTTGAGAGTCAGTATTTCAGGAGGCTAATGAGACACACTGGCTGGAGTTTGAAGAGGGCTGGGTAACTCTTCGATGGCTAATAACTGTTTCTATACGAGCTAAGATAATGGGTTCAGGGTGTTGTTGGCAAAGACAGGGACTGATTCCTGTGTACAGCAACAGAGTTTAGTTTCGTTAGGTTTTAAAAAAATCAGACTAGCCAGGAAGCAGTTTACATCAGCTGCTGCAAAAGATGCAGAGATACTTGTCAGGAGGCGTGTGGGTGAGTGTTTGCAGGGTGGGAAAGTTATCCTCTTACAGCACTAGAACAAGCTAAACACGTACAGTAGACAAGAGTCAGACTCTGCCCTGTGGGAGTTATTGGGAAATGTTCTTAGTCAAATCCACTGAGTTTGTTTTATTTTCCTGAGAGCGTCATGTCATCAGACAATGGTGCTGTCCACAAGCTCCAGAATTTAGCTGACTTCTAAGATATTGCAGTACCGCTGTAGATACGATTTCTTGTTCTGTCTAAGGTGCTCATTGAGTTAACGTAATGGCTCCCTGTTCCATCGCAGTGGGAAATGCAGGTTGTTCAAGTCTCTGATGACGTGGCAGCAGAAGATGATGGAGAAGTTCATGAGGAAACAGGTGAAGATTACATTCCTGAGAAAAAGACCCTGAGGACCAGAAAGAAATCAAATTTGGCAAAAAAGCCTCTCAGTTCGGAGCCTGCAGGGAATGCTGGGCTGGTAGAGGCTGGGACTCCTGGGAACAGAAAAGGTACAGCTGTGCCGGTTGAATGCCCCACATGTCATAAAACCTTCCTCAGCAAATATTATCTAAAAGTGCACAACAGGTAAACATTCTGATTTTTATTCCTGTACCTTACCCACAGTAAGAGGGACCTGTGCCCTGACTGGCTTCCCGCAGGGCTGGGCTATACAGAGCAGTCGTGCTGAGTAGCTGAACTTGAGCTCATTTCTGAACTTAAACACACGGGTTTAGGCTATGAAATAATAGTACTGGGAGGCAGGCGAGACCTGAGAGAATAGTCTCTGCCTGTAGGAGTCTTTTACTTGTTCAGAGAAAGCTCCAGTTCCAGGATGGAAAACCTCCTGGGGTACTGAGGATCTTTGCTAGAGGAAGCACCTAGTCCTAGCATTTCCCAGCTGCCTTTTTACGTTTTGCTGGATCACATTTCCTGTTTGCAGTTGGCCAGGGGCAGATACCAGTAAGACCCTCCGTATTGACTCTTGGAGTCACTTTTTGGCATT